CTGAGTGGGAATTATGATATTGTTTGGATCACAGGTCCCATCACTAACAGTTCATTGCATCTCTGGGCACATTCACACTGCACAACTATGGAGCTGTGATTCCACTTTAACTGCCATTTAAGTGTCTCACCAATCTACAAATCCCAGTGTTGTCAAAGGCTTTCATGGCTGGAACCACTGGGTTGCTGTGAGCTTTCCGAGCTGTATGGCCATGTTCCAGAAGCATTCTCTCCTGATGTTTCGCCCACATCTATGGCAGGCATCGTCAGAGGTTGTGAGGTCTGTTGGAAATTAGGCAAATCAGGTTTATATATTTGTGGAATGTCTGGGGTGGGAGAAAGAACTCTTGTCTGTTTGAGTCAGGTGTGAATGTTTCAATTGACCCCCTTGATAAGTATTGAATGGCCTTGCAGCTTCAACGCCTGGCTGCTTCCTGCCTGAGGGAATCCTTTGTTGGGAGGTGTTAGCTGGCCCTGATTGTTTCCTGTCCATAGGACACAACTTTGGCAATTAAAGTGGTATCATTGTGACCTGTATAGGGTGAAAGACCAATGAATTCCAGGGATGCAAGAATTTTTCCCTTGTTTTCAGTTCTTTGGGAGGTTTGTCTTGTCACCTGACACAAGCTGTGTTGGAAGCAGCTTGAACTGCCCTTTGTTACTGCATTTCCTTTCTGGTTGGACATGCTCATGGAGCAACTAGATAAGCAGACATACGAATGTTTATTATCCCTTCAAGAATGCAGACAGACAGGAGCTAAAATGAGCTTAGTGAAAAATATGAGAGGTGCTTATGGAAGGGATGGGGTCCAATATCTGCAAAAGTTCAAAAAGAGTTAGTAGGCTGAAGCCTGTTGAAGTTAGTGGGCCAAAGCTAGTGTTGCCTGAGGAAAATGAGTAGGCCGAAGCCTGTTAGCGTTAGTTCCCCTCAGTGAGGAAACTTGTCAGTCTGTATGAGAGAAGCATTGTGTAAAAAAGCTCCAGTGTGAAGGCTGCTGCATGTAAAGCTACTATGTATTCGTGTTGTGGACACCTTGTTATTGTCAATGTTGTGGACCTCATGGACCAGCCTACGCCAGAGCTCCCTGTTGGCTGTCACCACGCCCAGCTCCTTCAGAGTCAAGCCAGTCACTTCAAGGATAGCATCCATCCATCTTGCCCTTGGTTGGCCCCTCTTCCTTTTTCCTTCCATTTCCCCCAGCATCATTGTCTTCTCATGATGTGGCCAAAGTACTTCGTCTTTACCTCTAATATCCTTCCCTCAAATGAGCAGTCAGGCTTTATTTCCTAAAGTATGGACTGGTTGGATCTTCTCGGGGTCCAAGGCACTCTCAGAATTTTCCTCCAACACCACAGTTCAAAAGCGTCTATCTTCCTTCGCTCAGCCTTCCCTATGGTTCAGCTCTCACATCTGTAGGTTACTACGGGGAATACCATTGCTTTAACTATGCGGATCTTCGTTGCCAGTGTGATGTCTCTACTCTTCACTATTTTATCGAGATTGGTCATTGCTCTTCTCCCAAGAAATAAACGTCTTCTGATTTCCTGGTTGCAGTCTGTGTCTGCAATAATCTTTGTGCCTACAAATACAATCAGTCCGGTTGACAGAATCTTGTTCTTTTATATTTAACTGCAACCCAGCCTTTGCACTTTCTTCTTTCATCTTGATTAGAAGGCTCCTCAGCTCTTCATCACTTTCACATCCAGAGGGCAATCAAAACGGTAAAAGATCTTGAAACCAGGCATTATGACGAGTAGCCTAGGGAGCTGGTTGTGTTTAGAGATTAGGAAGAACTTCCCGAGAGCAAGAACTGTTTGGCAGTGGAATATGCTGTCTCAGAGTGTGGTGGAGTTTACTTCCTTTGATGTTTTTAAATGGAAGGTGGATGACCATCAGTCAGGAGTTCTGTGATTCTGTGTGATAGAGGCTGGACGGGATGGCCCTTGTGGTCTCTTTCAACTCTCATTCTTTATATATTCTATGAGCTAGTATTACCATTTCAAACGCTACTGTTTCACATGACAGTATTAATTCAATTTTATGTTATTGTCAATAGTGAACAATATTATTTTACTACAAAGAAGAGCCTCCTATGGAAAATATAACATTAGTCTGTGTGTTTTTGTTCTTTTTATCACTTTGGGCTACTGGCGCTGGTTCTTGCTCCTGCTGCTGAGTTGCTCTGCTGTACATTTATGGGGAGGGCCCTTTGTTACGAAGCTCACTCGCTTTTTAAAAATTACCATTACAGATTATTCCCTTAGGCACAACCCATTTGTGAGAATAATTTGAATGTATCAGTGAGAATGGCCATCTAGGGATGCTTTGATTCTGCATGATGATGCCAGAAATTTGGAGTTTTTCTAAGTCCTATTGATAGCTGAGAAATATGGTTGTCATGAACCAGGAACCAGGAATCTCACCAAGTTGAAGGCAAATGACAGAGATTTTATTCAGTTTGCGCATCTGTGCTGTACAAGTTTGCAAACTCATCTGGCCTTCCATCTTTGGGAAACTACAATTCTCACGGGGGTGAATTTTATCAGGTGTGGGATTGGGGGTCCTCAATAACAAATGACAGGGAGTTGGACTAGATGTCTCTTGAGGTCTCTTCTAACTTTGTCATTTTATAATTCTAGAATTTTAAAAATGGACTTCTGTTGTTTAAATCCCAGCAGATGTACAGACTACTGCCCAGACTACAGAATGCCCTCCCGAAATCTCCTTGGAATTGCCTAAGGAATCATGGGGGAACATGGGTGAAGGAACTTCATCGGACTGGGAGGAGGACCGGCGGATGGGTAAGCGAGACGACTCTTCGGAAGAGGCGCTTAGCATCAAAAGAAAACTACGGCGAAGAAAGAGTCCAGCACAGACCACCAGGACCAAGGAAGTGTTGCCGGAAACCAAGGACCCGGAAAGCCAAGCAAGGGCATTCTTTTGGGGGGAGAAGCCTTATCAGTTTCGAGATTGCGGGGAGAACTTCCATGCCAGGCAGGAACTTGCTTTACGCAAAGGGATCCACCGGTGGGAGAGACCCTTCCCTTGTGCCGTTTGTGGGAAGAGATTCACCCGGCTCTACCACCTCACCACTCACCTGAGGATCCACTCGGGCGAGAAGCCTTACCGCTGTGCTGAATGTGGGAAAAGCTTTGGGGACTTGTCCAATTGTTACAAGCACCAGAGGAGGCACCGAGGCGACAAGCCATACGTTTGTGATGCATGCGGGGACTGCTTCAGCAAACAGAAAGAACTCCTTGCTCATCAGAGAACTCATGAGAATGGAAGGGTACCCTCTCTGTGTTGACATGGAGAGTGGGTGGGTGGGTAGGTAGAAATGTAATTCATTATAGACATGTAAGCCATATCTGGGAAGTAGCCTTTGACTGAATGCCCTATATCAGTGATTCTCAACCTTCCTAATGCCGTGACCCCTTAATATAGTTCTGCATATTGTGTTGACCCCCAACCATAAAATTATTTTCATTGCTACTTCATAACAGTAATTTTACTGTTGTGAATCGTAATGTAAACATTTGATATGCAGGATATATTTTTATTCACTGGACCAAATTTGGCAAAAATACCTGATACGCTGACATTTGAATACTGGTGGGGTGGGGGGCTGATTTTGTCATTTGGGAGTTGTAGTTGCTGGGATTTATAGTTAGCCTACAATCATGGAGTACTCTGAACTCCACCACCAATGGAATTGAACCAAACTTGGCACACAGAACTCCCATGGCCAACAGAAAATACTGGAAAGGCTTGGTGGGCATTGACCTTGAATTTTGGAGTTGTAGCGCACCTATATGCAGAGAGCACAGTGGACTCAAACAATGATGTATCTGGCATGAATACTCAATATGTCCAAATTGAATTGGGCCAAACAGTTTGTTGCATCTACAGAAAAAACAGATTGGAGAAAGCCAAGTTGTATCCTCTTTGTCAGGGACTCTTTGGAAACCTATGTCTCGGAAGGCAGATATTCTGGATGAAGACTAACATAATGAATCTCCTAGTGCTGTTGTTCATAGATTGTGATATTCTGCCCTTATGGGGAACACGAGGAAAAATCGTGGATACGAAAACACAAGCTGTGTGTACTCTCACCGTTCATTAAAAAAGCCTAAAACTAACACATATATGTCATCATTTCACACACCAAAGTGCACTAATTCTATAGTGTAGAGCAAGCATGAGCAAACTTTGGCCCTCTAGGTGTTTTGGACTTGAACTCCCACAATTCTTAACATCCTACCTGCTGTCCAAAACACCTGGAGGGCCGAAGTTTGCCAATGCCTAGTGTAGAGGCACCTGATATACATCTTGTTGATTTCAAATGGATCTATTCAAACTTCCCCATGTTGAAAGAACCTGCATTGGTTGAATGCTGCCTTCCAAGTCCAATTCACTTACTTGTTTTTATCTTTGAACACCTTACATCGTTGGAGGGCTGACTCTCTTAGGAGCTGGTTCTTCTGGATGTTGGCATCCTCAAGTTAGGATCTTGTCATGATTTCCATCATCTATAGAGGTCCGCTTTATTTGACTTTTTTTGGCACAGAAATTTCCCACCATGCTCCCAGACTGAGAACTTCGCATACTAGCCAATTACAACATTCACACTTGCCTCAAGCAGACAAGAGTTCTTTCTCCCACCGTAGACATTCCACAGATATATAAACCCCACTTGCCTAGTTTCCAACAGACCTCACAACCTATGAGGCCTGCCATAGAGGTGGCCTGCCATAGATGTGGACGAAACATCAGGAGAGAATGCTTCTGGAACATGGCCATACAGCCCGGAAAACTCACAGCAACCCAGTGATTCTAGCAATGAAAGCCTTCTAGGACAGATTGATTATTGATTATTTGTTATTGCCTTTGTTTATTGATGTGTTGTGGGCTTGGCCTCATGTAAGCCGCACYGAGTCCCTTGGGGAGATGGTAGTGGGGTACAAATAAATTATTATTATTATTATTATTATTATTATTATTATTATTATTATTATTATTATTATTACTTAGTTCAAAWTTTGACACAAATAAGCTGTAAGGTTTTACTGCCCCCTAGTGTTCRGGTTGAGAATGGCTAGCTCTAAAGTACTGTACTTGTTCAACTAAGAACAAAAATACGTAATGTTATTAGGTTAGACAACCTTTACAGCGTATTTATATGCAGAATCCCTTTATCTCAGTAATGGTGTACTTTTAAAAAGCTATTGCTAGCATGGCTTGGGATTGTTGTTTTTTTGAACTGCATCTGGAGGCCTGGTATGATTCATTTACCTATGCTAACAGTTTCATTATGGGAGATCTTCAAAATCATAACATAATGTAAATATGAAAGAACCAGCTCAAATCAATCAAATCAAATCATTTATTTTGGTCATAGACCACAGGAAATAGAAATCACATTTTAATACAAACTTGGTACGTTTAGTACAATAAAATATAAATATAACTACTGAAACACAATGTGGGTGAGGGAGCAGAGGGGGAAACAGGGTAAAAACATACAATGCACAGATCCATCACTAAATTGTAGATTCAGGGAAGATGATTATTGGACACACAGTTAACTTTTGGGACTAGTCATCTCCTGACAGATTTTTTATGCTTCTGCACAGAACTTTGCAATATTGTAGGTTGTAGCTGAATTAGTATCTGCAAGTAGCAGGGAGGTATAAAATTGTCCTGAATGGCCTGGGTGCTTGTATATCAGAGGTAAGATAAGCCTGGCACGGATATCCCTGTAGAACGGGCACTGAAGGAGCACATGTTCTATTGTTTCTACATGACCCGAGTCACAGGGGCAGAGTCTCTCTGGGAAAGGGATTTTCCGGTAGCGGCCTTCAAGTACAGCTGATGGGAGAGCGTGGCATCGAGCCAGGGTGAAAGCCTTGTCTGTTTGAGGCTGGTATGAATGTTATAATTGGCCATTGAATTAGAATTGAATGGCCTTGCAGCTTCAAGGACTGGCAGGCTACACAGAGAAGCCATCAAAATCCTCAAGCATGTGGACACTTTCCACAGAAAGGAGAAAACCATGAAAATATACAAAATCTGGCTACCAGTATTAAAAGACTCTAAAATCATAACAGTAAATAAAGGATAACACTCAAAAACAGGGGAATTCCAGACAAGAATCAATCAGGGGCAGCTAATCATCTCCCAAAAAAGAATTCCCCCGGCAGGAAGCAACCAGTCTTTGAAGTTGCAAGGCCATTCAGTGCTAATCAAGGTGGCCAACTGTAACATTGACACCTGCATCAAGCAGACAAGAGTTTTTTCTCCCACCCTGTGTCCTGATCTGCAGCTTCCTGGCGAAGAAATTACCTCACGAACAGAGTGGGAAGGCTTTATTTCTCAAAGCATACAGTGCAGCTACAAACAAAGTTCCAACTGACAGTTTCTTTTTCTTATACCTCCTATCTCTCACTCTGGTCCCTCCCATTCACTGCTCCCATTTCCATGGAAATCCTCTCCCTTGCTTCAAGTATGCTACAGGCCAAGGCATGGTCTACTTTTTCTGGTTCCACACAAAATCATGACACCCTGGACATTCCACAGCTATATAAATCTCAGTTGCCTAGTTTCCAATAGACCTCCCAACCTCTGAGGATGCCTACCATAGATGTGGGCGAAACATCAAGAGAGAATGCTTCTGGAACATAGCCAAACAGCCTGGAAAACTCACAGCAACCCAGTGATTCTAGCCATGAAAGCCTTCAGCAACACAATAATTTTATTTCTTACCTGCCTGTCCTCAGTGATAAACCTCCTGAGTCTAATAGAATCAAGGAATAAACTATGTATGTATGTATGTATGAAAAGATTTCATGGAATATGTTGTGTCCCCATATATTTCATTATTACAATTTATGTATGTGTCCGTATCTCTTATAAGGGGTTGCTTTAACCCCTGGTTTGTGAGCAAAGCTGAATTACTGTGTCATGTATGCATAAAAATTGTGTCACCAGCATTAAAAGCTCCCCTGCAGCATTTTAGTTCTTTTCACCCTTTCCCTTTGAAGACCTTCCTCAGCTGTTCTCTGCTATTCAGTTCAGGCTTCACTACAATGATGTAGACTTTGGGGAAGAAGATACAGCCCAGCAGCCCAGCACTGGAGGCTAATATGGAGAAGATCTCCACAGCCACCATAAATTTCCCCTTGGTGCTCAGGTAAGAGGGGACAAAAGACAGCCAAACACTACAAAACACCAGCATGCTGAAAGTGATGAATTTGGCTTCATTGAAACTGTCAGGTAGCTTCCTGGCTAGAAAAGCCACAAAGAAACTGAGGAGGGCTAGGAAGCCAAGGTAGGCAAGAATACAGTAAAATGTGAAAGTTGACCCTTCGTTACACTCTAATAAAATTTCTTCCCTATCATAGTGCATGTTGAAATGTGGAAATGGAGGAGAAGTCGCCAGCCAAATCATACAAATGCCTGCTTGGAAAATGGAGCAGGAAATAACTATGGAGTTGGCCAAACTTTTTCCAACCCATCCTCTCATTCTGGTTCCTGGCTTGGTGGCCGCAAATGCCCAAACCACCATGATGGTTTTGGCCAACACACAAGAGACGGCCACTGAGAAGATGATTCCAAAAGCAGTTTGTCGGAGGAGACAAGTCACCGTCTGGGGTTGGCCAATGAATAGCAAAGTGCAAAGGAAGCAGAGTAGGAGAGAGAGCAGGAGAGTGTAGGTAAGACTTCGGTTGTTGGCTATGACTATGGGTGTATCTTGGTGCTTCACAAAAGTCACTAGCACCAAAACCGTTATTAGAGAAAAGGCTAGAGCAGAAATGGTGAAACCAATGCCTAAAGGTTCTTCATAGGATAGAAAGGTGGTGAACTTGGGAATGCATGAGTCACGCCTTTTGTTTGGATAATGATCTTCTGAGCATTCAATACAATCTGCCATGTCTGGGGGGGAAAAAAGGTAATTTCAGTCTTCAGGCACTATAAAACACACTCTAAAAGACTGAGACAACCTTCTGAGGAGTGACTAATATTGATGGAACCTTCAACTTGTGCCAAAGTAGGCAAGTTAAAAGTATTCAGCTATGTTTTTAACATGTTGCTACTGATGGTCACAGTTTAGCACCTTAGTTTAACATTGAGGTATGGTAGTTAAAGTGGTATCAAACTACACTAATTCTGCAGTGTAGATGCACCCAAAGTCATTCAAGGAATGAAGCTTGATTCTTCCACCTTCCAACTTAACACCATAACTGCTATGCTACATTGCTTGCTTAGGTGATAATATCGCACTAAATATTTGAGCAAAGAAATATGTAAGTTTGAAGGTTACTACTACACTATGGGTATTACATGATGCAATATCACTTCATGAGGGTACTAGACTATGTGTAGCTTCCATTCAATGCCATTTTCTAGACTTGTGCAATCCAGGTAAATCATGATCTGTTTCGGTGTTCCAGCTTTCAGTGGGGCCTGATCTGTTTTTTGGGAGCCTCTTGAATTCGGGAGGTTAGATATCTGTTTTCAGTGCCAAAAGATCAATTTTCTATCGGGTCTATTATAGGGGGAGGGCTTCCCAGGCTTCCCTTCTCATCATTTTAGGCATTTAAACTGTTTCTACAGTGATGCAGGCAGGCACTGTTTCTACAGTGATGCAGCCACACACTCTTTCCAAGGTAAGGAAGCACGATGACCTCCTGGAGCTATCCCTAAGGCTTCCTTTAAAAAACACCTTTTTTCTGGCACACTTTAGTCTCCTTTCTGCTTTGGGTTTAATGCTTCCTTACAGCTGTTTCTACTTTCTGTTCTAGAGGAGAGGTAACTGGTAATAGTTTTCAGGGAATTAGAGTTTTGTTTTTTTCTTTTGCTGGAAGATTAGTAAGAAGATTAAACTGTGATGCCAAAAAGCAGAGGAGGAGCTGAGATCCGCCCCCACTTACTTTTGTTGCGGGCAGGTTCTTGTACTGGGAAGGACCTTACTGTTACAGGCTCCCAAAGTACCCAATGTACCGAAGGAAATAGAGGAAATGGAAGAAATGAATTCCATGCACAAGCCTCCAACTTACCTTGCTGGTTAGAAATTTTTCCTTCTGGACACTGAGCACAATCATAGCAACAAAATGCTCTCCCTTCTATCCTTTTCTTGCTGTAGCCAGGATGGCAATGGTCATTACACACAGATAGGGGCAACGCCTAATCATAATCAGAAAAGGAAAGATATTTCACAACATGCTTTCAGCATTTGTCGATCTCATTGGAGAGAAATTCTAGATGTTTTGTTTTGTTACTACTCTTCTCATTTTGTTGTCTCAGGGCATGTAAGTAACACACCACTTTCATTGCTATGGCTCAGTTCTATGGAATCATGGAAGTTTTGTAGTTTTACAAGATTGTTAGCTTTCTTTGCCAGAGAGTGGTGGTGCCTTTCTACAATTCCAGGATTTGCTAGCATTGTGCCATGGCAGTTAAAGTGGTATCAAACTGCATTAATTCTACAGTGTAGATGTACTCTCCATTAAAAATAACTAAAAGCACATTAAAACAGTCAAAAACAGTACAATCTCATCTTAACTACATATGTTTCAAAAGCATTCAGTTTTCAATAACCTGTTGTAAAAAGAGAATGGAAAGACAGCAAAGAGGACAATTCTAACCTTCCTAAGAAGGGAGTTCCATAATCTAGGGGCAGTTTCTTCATCAATCATCATAGAAATTCCATCCACATTTACTTCCATTTTCTTCTCCCAAAAAGTGACTCACAGTTAAATTGTAAGAAAACCTCATGATGATTTAGTACTAAAAATCTGCCCCAATAGGTTGCAATCTGCCCCAATAGGTTGAATTGATAAGGAACTGATAATAATTGTTGATTTTGTTGTAATGTGTGATGTGTTTTTAACTGTATATTACTGTAAAACTTGCACTGTGTAAACCGCATTGAGTCGCCTAATCTAGGCTGAAAAATGCGGTATAGAAGTAAAGCAAATAAATAAATAAATAAATAAATAAATAAATAAATCCCCATAACCAGCTCAAACACCTCTGTTTTTGTCTCAAAATGGTGACAGTGACAAGCTTTAACAAACACCTACTTACCTGGTTAAACCAACTATGCCAGGTGATGGCAGTCTCATTAATGGTGACTGCTTGATCTGGGGCAGCAAGTGTATCCATTCTTCCAACTTTCACTTTGTGGAAAGATTGGTTTGGGGAAAAGACCCAATTGATGATATCAAAACCAGTTATAAATTCTCCATTTTGGTCAAAAGCAATCATGTCCCCAGCAGTGTTGTTAAATGAAACTCTTCTCAGAAAATGGTACAGCTGGATAGAAAAGGAATACAACATAGGGCTGGGCGGTTTCGTTTCGTAATTTGTTAAAAATTCGGTTTTTTTTATTACGAAGCGATATTGAACCATTCAGGAGCAACTAAAAAACGAAATGAATTTTTCCAATTCGTTTCGTAATTGTTCCGTTATTGATTTGTTATTGATTCGTTATTGATTCGTAAATGTTTCGTTATTATTTCCGCATGTCTGGTGCAAGTTTTAGGGTTGCTGTTTGTCTTCTCAGTGAAAAAAAATATAATTATCACACCAACAGTCAACAACAGAGGGAGAGGGAAGCTTCAGAAGTTTTTTTAGCGTATTGCGCGATCGCGGCCGCCATTAATGAATCGATTCGTAATCGATTCGTAATTGTTTCGTAATTGTTTTATGATTTCCGAAATTTCGTAAATATCGAACTTTTTTTAAGGAAAATTTCGGAATTCTTTTAAATAACGAAATGCAAAAAACCCCTAAAAACGAATCGAGTTTAGAAACAAATTTTTCCGTGTTTGGACAGCCCTAATACAACACGTTAGGAAAGAAAAGTGCAATAAATGAAATCTTTAGCATTAAGAATGTTATTCTTCAGCATATGCTAAGGACTTTAATGCACAAAGCCACTATTTTATGACAAAGATAGCTGCAACCTACTGGGATGATCACATTGTCATTGTATTTCTCAGTAATCATGTAACTGCAACAATTTGCCACTTTGTGGTCTCTGTTAGGACTATAACTGCCCTCTTGGGTTTTCACTGCTCCATTAAGCTTTTTTTTTTTTTTTACAAAAATAATTCTTTGACAAGCAACTTTGAAATTACTATGAGGCTTAGTAAAATATCAACAACTTTTAATCAGTCAGTCACTGTGAAGGGGAATACACAGAGTGTTGGAGAGCAAAGTAATCTTGTTCCTTGCCAGCACAGAAGTAAATAGGGCTCATTACACTAGGTATGTGATGGGATTGTGTTGCAACCAGAGCTTTCGAGTCAAAAGCAGGGAACGGGCTTGTTGTGGGGAGGTGGCAGAACAGCAGTGGGTTTTGCATGGTGTTGTTTTTGCCACTATCATGCAATAAATGTCTAAAATTAAGAAACATTTAGTTGCCCCAAAAGAGAACATTGATTTTTGGGGGGTGAGGGCAGGGCCATAGCTAGAAAAAAATGGGGGGGGGGGTTGAAACTTTTTTTTAGCAAATCATGAAAAGTAGTTTCATAACACAAAATATCACACTGGCAACAAAGATCGGCATAATTAAAGCAATGGTATTCCCCGTAGTGACCTATGGATGAGAGCTGGACCATAAGGAAGGCCGAGCAAAGGACGATAGATGCTTTTGAACTGTGGTGCTGGAGGAAAATTCTGAGAGTGCCTTGGACCGCAAGAAGATCCAACCAATTCATACTTCAGGAAATAAAGCTTGACTGCTCATTGGAGGGAAAGATATTAGAGGCAAAGATGAAGTACTTTGGCCACATAATGAGAAGACAGGAAAGCTTAGAGAAGATAATGATGCTGGGGAAAATGGAAGGAAAAAGGAAGAAGGGCTGACTAAGGGCAAGATGAAGTGACTGGCCTAACTCTGAAGGAACTGGAGGTGGTGATGGCCAACAAGGAACTCTGGCGTGGGCTGGTCCATGAGGTCACTAAGAGTCGGAAGCGACTGAACAAATAAACAACAACAACACAAAATAATTTAAATAGTACGGTTCACTCGAAATTTTATATAGACATAATTAAATCAATTGTCTATTTTAGTTACAAAGTTTCAAGTCTTAAAATAACTGAAAATGATGGTTAATTGGTAATTTATAGTTACAAAATATCACAATGTCTGTTGGAAACACTTGAAAACTGTGTCAATACACTTTGACAGAAATCAGGCTCCACTGATAAACTTCAATGGACATTCAAGAGAGCAAGGCCAGTCAGTCTTTCTTGCCCCATTGTATTTTTATGTACGTTTATGTATGTAGGCATAGCAATGGCAACCATACTATCTGGAAAAGAGGAGGGGAGCAAGGAGGGTAAGGCCTAATTCCCCATTAGGAACCTGCCTCCTACCTCACACTGTAGTAAAGAGCACTACAGGGGGGCAGAGCAGCCTAAAATAGCCTGCAGCTCCGCTCCTGTCAACCGCCCCCACCAAGTCCAGTAAAAAAGGGCTGAAAAACACAACTTATACTAGATTATATATGGTATTTTTTTAGTTGTATGTAGGGCAGCAGGAGATGTTATCACAAACACAGCAACTCGTGAATAATTAACTCCACAATTGTTTAACTCACAATAATTGTAAATACAGTGAACCCACTGTCTTTAGTAGATTACCTGCCATGGTAGTTTATTTTCATATTTCTGGGTGTTTCCAGCTATGACTGATTTGTATTTGTATGAATGCATTGTTTGTAAAGCATGTGCCACAGCATATACAGCGTTGTAAATAGCATAGCTTTGTCCGTTCATGCTCATTTCAAAAAATGCCCAAGGAAGGCTCTCTAGCTTTTCATCTCCACTACAGTTTTTATTTACTCTTCCATCTACAACAGAACTGGGAAGCTGACAGTTGAATGCTTGCTGCCAGAAATCCTCAATGAAGCCATCTTCTTCATTCAAGTGTGGGTTTCTGATCTGAAGAAAGTTTTGGAATTCTGGGAGTTCATTTGATTGAACTGTGAAGGATAACGCTCCATGAAATATTTGGGGATTCCATTTGTCTTGGAAGCCAAATGCTACAATATCCATCTGGCTTGCCATTATCCATACTTTACCTTTTGGATGAATGGTTACTGGTTCATACAGAAATGTTCTCCAGGTGAGCATGTCTGGATTTTTGCCATAAAACACCATTACGTTGGATTTTCTCTCCAAGATAACATTATACATTTCCTGAATTAATTTCATTACTTTAGGATGTTCTGTCATAAAATTAATTCTGGGGGTTATCTCAATGAATTCAAAACATATGCCCTTTTGGACGAATGTAGGAAGTGCTCTCCGCAAGAACCTTTCTCCGTCATCATCATCATCCATTGTAAGTATACCAATCCATATCCAGTGGAAGTACAGAAGTAGTTGGAGTAACCCTCTATACTGGTGGACTTCATTTGGGACCATATGGAAGGAAGGGAAGACTTGTCTGTTATCACTCATCTCAGAAGTAGAGCTATACATGAGCTAAAAGACAACAGGGAAACATACAAGGATGTGGGAAAAGGCAGGATTCAAGGGGAGAAGCTCAAGGAGGAGAAAGTAGATAGAAAGACCTCTCTTCCCATCCCACCCACCCACTTTCTCATAATACTAGAATCTGTGCTCATGCATTAGAGCTGAATGATGAAAGATACAGAGTAAATAAAAATAAGCATTCCTCCCTAAAACACCCAAAGTGGAGTTGTATCATATGTTTTGACAAGATGAAATGATGGCAGCCAATTTAGAATCTTTTAAATGAGGAATAGATAAACTGAAGGAGGATGGACCATTCATGGTTGTAATTAGAATGGCTATATATTACAGTAGAGTCTCACTTATCCAACCTTCACTCATCCAATGTTCTATATTATCCAACACACTCTGCCTCTCGCCCGGATCCACAGCTGTTTCAATACATTGCGATGTTTTGGTGCTAAATTCGTAAATACAGTAATAAATTTAAATAAAACAAACCTGTATTTGTATAACGCTCTATCTACCCAAGGGGACCCAGGGCGGTTTCCAGTGTGGCAAAGCATTGCAATTACCAACATAAAAACATACAAAAAGTCATTATAAAAAAATATAAACATACTACTATATAACAATAGTACATATTTAAAATTAAAAAGCCAGTTCAGTACTAATTACATTGGGCAGCTCAGCTTCCAATGGCCAATATTCCAAAGTGGGCCTTGATGACTATGAGAGGGCTGGGCTAGTACAACGAAGTAGACTATGGCCTGGGGAGTGGGTTGCATGGCTTACCTGATGGTCAAGGTAGGACCTGGAGCTATTTATTTCCAAGGTCTGCTGCATAACCGCAAGAGTTCTGGGCCAACGAGGAAAACATAGGCCCGGGGAAGTGGGTAAAGTGCATGACAAGTCCCTAACTAATAGCCAGGGTAATGCTGGACCAGGGCTGATAGCAAAGGGATGAGGGAGTGTGTAGAGTACAGAGTGGGGACCTAACTAATGACCAAGGGAGAGACCTGGGGTTAATCATTTCCAAAAACCACCAGGTTTTCAGGTCCTTGTGGAAGGAGGCAAGTGATGGGGCTTGTCTTATCTCTCTGGGGTGGGCGTTCCAGAGGTGGGGGGCCACCACTGAGAAGGCCCTCTCCCTCGTCTCCATCAGCCACACTTGAGACGGTGCACTTGAGATAGTAATTACTACATAACGTTACTGTGTATTAAACTGCTTTTTCTGTCTATTTGTTGTAAAACATGATATTTTGGTGCTTAATTTGTAAAATTGTAATGTAATTTGATGTTTCATAGGCTTTTCCTTAATCCCTCCTTATTATCCAACATTTTCGCTTATCCAATATTCTGCTGGCCCTTTACGTTGGATAAATGAGACTCTACTGTATCTTCAATCTCAGAGGCAGCATTCCTCTGTATAGGTTCTTCATTATCTGGGAGATGATACCCCTATCATATAGAATTAATGCAGTTTGATCCCACTTTAACTATTTTGGCTCCATGCTATGGAATCCTGGAACTATAGTTTGGTGAGGCACCACAATTCCTAGACAGATGCCAAAGACCTTGAAAAAAAAAACAGCTCCATGATTCTATAGCATTGAGCCATGGCAGTTAAAGTAGTATCAAACAGCATTCATTCTACAGTGAAGTTGCACCCAAAGATTATATCAGCCACCCTATTCATAAAAACACTGCAGAGTGGATACAGCTTATTCCTCAAAGAGATCCACTTACCTGTGGAATCTTGTAGATGCCCAGGATAGTTGCAATGTGAAGAGACCTGTCTGAACTAAAATCTCCAATGATAGCTATCAGACTATTCTGGGTGTCACATTTGTAATTGGGATGAAATCTGTCCCATGTAGAAAGCAGTCGCATGGTTTTGTGATAGGTCCACATGGCACTGAAATAGCTGTCGTAGATGTGGAACCCCAGAGTGATGTTCCATAAGACATGTGAGTTGTCATTGATCTCTTTTACAGCGAATGCCAAAGCTAAGACATGCTGGTAATTCTTAAGCAGAACGCTACAATGACAGTTGCAAGCTATGTTACTTAATGTTGCACTTAGAAAATGATTACACACACATGCACACACACACACACACATATATTGCTGCTCCCAAAACATTTATTTCTCTTGCTGATATACAAAAAACAGGTGTATGAAAAATCCAGACTGATGGTTCATTTCAGCAAGACCACTGTCTTTTCTATACTCCATTTTCCCAGCTGTAGTATTGGGTGATACCTAATGCATTAACTGTGCAATCCAATATATAGTTGGGTTGCTGTGAGTTTTCCAGGCTGTATGGTCATGTTCCAGAAGCATTCTCTCCTGATGTTTCACCCACATCTATGGCAAGCATCCTCAGAGGTTGTGAGGTCTGTTGGAAAGTAGGCAAGTGGGGTTTATATATCTGTGGAATGTCCAGGGTGGGAGAAAGAGCTCTTTGTCTGTTTGAGGAAAGTGTTAATGTTGCAATTGGTCACCTTGACATTCACATTCTCACTTGCCTCAAACAGACAAGGGTTATTTCTCCCACCCTGGACATTCCACCCCACTTGCCTAGTTTCCAATAGACCTCACAACCTCTAGGGATACCTGCCATAGATGTCAGTGAAACGTCAGGAGGGAATGCTTCTGGAACATGGCCACAAAGCTCAGAAAACTCACAGCAACCTATAAAAAGCATTCGGCAACACAATATATAGTTACTTAAAACTACATCTTATTCTCTGCCATGGGTCTTTTCTGGTTAATGGGATTGCTGTTTTATAAATGTAATTCATATGAAAGTTGGTGATACAAGACTAAAATGAATTCCCATATTGTCTGAAAGAAAGGGAATGTATTGCACTAGATTCTATATTTTAGGAGACTTGAATACTGGTGATGATCCTTTGTCTTTTTATGCCATTCTAACCAGTGAAAAAACACATATCCATTATTTCAACATAATTTCCAACAAGTTCTATCTCAAATCTGTTTATCATGAACTATTTCTAAAAGTAAACCAAATCATCAAATAGGATGCCACAGGCACATATGAAATAAATGTATGGATCTCAGAATCCCCTTTTCATAAATAAAACTGGAATTTAGCATGAAACCATTTCACCTTTTGACTTCATTAAATTACTAATTATCTAATTAGTGACAAAACAACTCTAAAGCAGACGTGAGATTCCTGATGTGTTATTCATCTCACTTTTTAAAAAAACCAAGGACACCTTTTTTGCTTGTGGACTTAAGCTGTTCTTGTGATTTGGTTATTCCTGGACTGTATTACCTTTGAATCCGTTTCAGATATTTGGATTCCTATTGGATTATTGCTTATTGCTAAACCTTTTTGGATATACATTTTCTTTCTCCATTCCTGATTTTTTCCTGCATTTTCAAAACAAGGTATAGTGATATTGTACAGGGTCTTACATAATGGTTTTCTTCTAATATAGATTTTAGAAGTGATTTTGGGACAGAAAATATATGAACACACATTTCACTCACCATTCTAAAACAAAATAGCATATAATCTATTTCGTCACATTTTTCCATCGGAAGCGATCAGAAGAAATAGAAAAAACTATTGCCATTTATTTTGTATCAACGCCGAACATAGTTTAATTATTCTAGCCATAAACATTATTCTAGACCATTTTATGACTTATGCAAAGGCAAATGCTACAAGAAGCATCCTTACATGGGGCGTATCCTCACTTCCTGCATGGGATTTATCTTGAAGGTTCTCCCATCCACAGGAATGATGCTCAGGGAGGCAATGCCACCAATGATGAAGTCACCTTGTTGATAATAGCAGTGAAGAGCTGGAATGGGCTCATTGCTGGCACACTTAAATGTATACGCTTTGCACACAGCATGAGGAAGCAAAACCAGTGACAAAACCAATAAGGTTATCATCCTATTGCCAAATCTGCTTCCTTTACAGAGATTTCTTTGCTTCCACATTATTTGCCCTGTTTACCCTGGACTTCCAGTTCATAAAAAATAATATGGCATCATCATTATTACTAACCTCCTGATTAGAAGGGATAGTTTTTCCTCAGTCTTAATTACTAGTTTTTCTAACCATTGGATTTCTAAGGGGAATTTGGCCAACAATAATAGTCATCATAGCACTTTAGATAATTACAGGAGATGGAATAAGTTATTCTTTGGCAATAGTTGTGAGTTCTCTGTGGCATTACAGAAGAAAACATGGTGATCATTTCTTAGGCTGGACCCCCTGGTGGTCCTTGCAGACTGACAATTCTCTCATACCAGAAGCGACTTGCAGTTTCTCAAGTTGCTCCTGACACATTTTCCCCCCTTTGGCTAAGTATTTTTCTGCTGTGTAGTGGGACAGGTAGTAAAATGTGTCCTTCTAAAGATGTCTTACAAGAAAAATGAAGTATGCAGACTATTGTATTCCAGAGTTTAGGATTGGCACGAATCTGGTCTTGTCTTGGTTATAACTAGATGCCAGTTTTCATGGGAGTTTAATTTCCTTGGTCCTCTTTTTCAGTTCTCAATGGTTGAGAGCCCTTAAATTATTTTTCCAGCTTGGATATCAGACGCACTATGGTTTCATAAAGCTTGCGAGTGGGATGCGAAGGTGGGAGAAAGCAATATTGGAGTTTACAACATTTTTTTCATTCCAAGGACCTCATCACACTAGAGTGATGGTTCTCCTACAACTTAATTGGCAAGGATGACTCAAGGTAGTTTGGATTTAGACTCATTATACTTCAGAGAAGATCCACGAATGCAGTGGTTTTCAACCCGTGGGTCCCCAGATATTTTGGCCTTCAACTCTCTGAAATGCTAAGAGCTGGTATTCTGACTGGGATTTCTGGAAGTTGTAGGTTGGGAACCACTTCACTAAAGCATGGATCCACTTTAAATCTAGTTTCTGCCTCCTGTAGAATCCTGGGGCTTGTACCCTCAACCAGACAAGTTCTAGGCCTCACTAAACTACAAACCCCAGAATTCCGCAGGAGGCAGAAGCTGGATTTCAAGTGGACCCATGCTCTAGTGCAGTGGTTCCCCAACCTTTGGTTCTCCAGATGTTTTGGACTTCAGCTCCCAGAAATCCCAGGCATCTTAGCTGCTGTTAGGAACTGTGGAAGCGGAAGTCCAAAACACCTAGAAGACCAAAGGTTGAGAACCACTGCTCTAGTGTGATTAGACTGCAATAAACCATTAGAAGTGGGGCAAAAATAGCAATTGCTTCTCCAGGTGCGTTAGAACAGTGGTCCTTCAGGTATTTTAACGTTCACATGCCTGAAGCTCTAGCCACTATGGCAGATGCTTGGGAATCATGGGATATGCAGCCCAAGTCATCTAGGGGACAAACGTTTGAGATCTAGTGGGATGTTGAATTGCTGACTATGAAAATGTAATGTGATTTTGTCTTGACAGCAGTTCTTGTATTCTGTCACTTTCTTTTTGTTCCTTTTTTTCTTGAAGCAATGCTTTTATGGTTCATATTTTTTTCACAGAAAGGAAGAAATTGTTCCTTTCCCAAGTTAGTTTGTGCTGATGGAAGTGATTTTTAAAATTTTTGAACATGAGCAAGTAACTTGGGAATGAACAACTTCCTGAAGGTATAGGAGTGCAGCAAATGTATTCCGACTACTTCAGGAGCTGCGCTTCCAACATTTGGGGAATATGGCTTGGGCCAGGACTATATCTATATAAATAAAAATGTAATGTTCGTTTGTGGGATTAACATAATTCAAAAACCACTGGACGAATTGACATGGAATTTGGACAGTACACCCCTAACAGACTAACGAGTGACCATCATTTATAAACCCCTCCCAAAAAATAGCAGAAAGAACTTAAAAACCTCAAAAAGCTAAATAACAATACAGCACATGTGCGAAAATGACAGCTCCCAGCATCCCCTCCACCAGACCCTTTAGGGGAGGAGGATGCTCCAAATATTCTGCTTCCAAGCTGCAAGTTTGCTTCTCCTTGGATTTCTTTGAGAGCATCCCAATCCGTACATATTTCCAATTTCCTATTCTTGGACTGCAACTCCCAGCAACCCTCCAGATAGATAAGATAGATTACACAGAGATAGATAGTAGGTAGCTAGATCAATCAGTAGGACTGCTGGGAGTTACAGTCGAAGAATAGGTAGAGAAGGAAGAAAGGAGAGAAAGAAAAACAGAGGGGAAGGAAGGAAAGAGGTGGAGAAGGAAGGAAGGAAAGAAGGAAAGAAAAAAGGGAAGGAAGGAAAGAGGGAGGGAAGGAAGGAGAGAAAGAAAGAAGGAGAGAAAGAGGGAGGGAAGGTTGGCCACAGCAACGCGTGGCGGGTACAGCTAGTAGTTAATATATAAGGAAGATGGCATTGGACTACCCTCTATATGGAATTACCCTCAACTTAACCATGGGTTATATCGACTTCCATAATTTTACTTCCCAAATCTGCCTTTGACTTATACATGAGGTAGACTTATACATGAGTATATACAATATATAAGTAGTGACTGTAGGAAAGGAAAGATAATGAGAGAATGGAGGAAGTAGAGCAAAGTCGAATTAAAGCAATGAAGAAGCAGGACACTTAGATTTGGCAGATTTATGTTTGATTTCCCTTGATGCCATTGGACAATCTTGGTAAAACTGCAGTCATTGGCATAGTGTACCAAAAGGATTTGGCATAAAGAAGCCCATACCAGACAAATAAGCAATCTTTACACATGAATAGTAAAATGCTACAAGCTGCATTGATGTAATAAAACAATACCTACAACAAATGCAAAAAAAAATATATTATAAAGACAAAAATATACCTGTATATACATTCTTCAAAGATACGAACCTCCACGAAACATACACTATACAAAAAGGTCAAATATATTAAAACTGTATCAAAATGTAGAAAACACCACATATGGTTTTTATAACTAAATCTATATATATATAAATGCTCTGTGCATAATGAGTACCTTAAAAACAAAAGAACCAATGAACGAAATCACACCAAATTTGGC